CCTTCATGGACAGAGACATAGAAACCATTGGCACTGTTCTCAGTGCCAACAGGCGGCCAAACTTCCACCAAAAGAACAAACAATTTCGAGGCCAGTACCTACGGGTCCATGGGAACTACTAAACATTGATTATGCGGGACCAGTAAACGATATCTACTACTTCATCATAGTAGATGCCTACTCCAAATGGCCTGAGATCTACGCTATTCCCCCGCGATTCGCAGGAACCTATGCAACAGAGGAAGCTCCCTCCGAGATCTCAGTGCCTTATTGTTGTCAATCTTCCAAAGGCCAAGGTCATCACCGCCCAGGCTCGCCTGGACCATGACCTGCAGCTGCTGAGGTCGCACATGGTTACATTGTTTGATGGCGACGAGGTGGAACCAGCGACATCAGTCAGAGTAAAAGCGGCATTCCGGCTTGGAAAACCCCGCCAGGATAATTCTCCACGACCACTGAAAGTGGATCTTCGAGCAGAAAGCGAGGCCAAAGCGATACTCCAGCAGAACCACAAGCTGAAGGGAACTCCGGTGCGATTCCTCAGGGATCTTGACCCCGACCAGCGCAGCAAATTGAAAATTGCATTAGAAGAACTCAGGGAGAGCCGTACAGAAGGGGAAACTGATCTGCGTATACGGGATTTTCGTGTGCATCGGAAGCGTCCTTAGTTGCGTTGGCTACCCTTGGTCGGGGGGAGGACCCCGGAAACTGTTTAACCATGAACGGGTGAATTAGCTTAGGGCACGAATGGCGCTCTCTCCGTTCTATGTATACACTGGAGGCGTGGCGTACTTCAAACGGACAGAGTACAGGACGGACGGAATGTGTGGTGCTCATCCTTTCCGGATATGCGTCAGGCTGCATCGCTCACAAATAGGGATTCCCGGAACGCTGAGAATGTGGATGTATCCCGGGAGTTGATTCCTCATAGAACCCAGTAACTCGTACTGGAATTCTCTCCACCTCACCGCCACCGAGCATACGCTATGGGCCCGCTATGATTTGACCGAGAACTGTGAGCGTGCATCCGGCAGAGGAATAAAGCCTGGTCCGGGTACCGTGCAACAAGCGCAGGATATGAGGAATGTCGATGTATTCGAAATCACTTCATTGCACTAAAAAAATGCAAGAGAACCAGATTCGTGGAACGAGTGGCAGTGGATTCATTACAAGCACCAAAGCGATCGTATGTCTACCTCAGGCGAAGTATCAGAGCAACGCCTGGTCTCCCGACTCTCGCCAAAGATGGGGCTCTAGTCAGAAAAGATGAGGACTAAGCAGAGATGCTGGCATCACATTATACCTCAGTGTACACCCCAGACTAGAGCACACTGGCACATCTACTGGACACTGACACTGAGCTGAACTGGACCCAATTTACCATCAAAGATTCAAAGACTCAAAGATTTATTATGGGAATAACTTACAAGCTCATGCTTTTCTGGTCCCATAGGTTCGTGCGGTGGATTAAGAAACAGTGATACATACAATTCTTTTTGTAAACTGTCACGTGATACGTGCGTTTTCCGCTGCTTCACGCAGCTTCACTTATGTTGGAACGTAAGATGTGCTAGTGTTTCATCGAGCATCAGTTTGAAAGACTCAATGCTTGGAGCACAGACGACGTGGGATGGTAGAGAGTTCCAGATCGAACACACTCTGACTGC